GATCGTAACGGCGGCGGCTCAAGAAGGTTTGCCCGCGTACATTATTCCTATGCGGGTTATAGAATGGACCGTTAGAGCGGGAAATTCAGTTGTAACGGTGTAAGGCGGATGGCCAATAATGCCAACCGGCGGGGAATTCAAAAAAATAGAAGTAGTGTTTGATATATTTTAAAATTTTTAATTTTAATTATAGATTAAATAAATAAATTGATAAATAATTAAATTTTATATTGTGCTCATCAATTTCTTAAAAAAATGTTTATTCATATGATATTTAATAAAAAATAATAAAATTGTCTTCATAAGCTACTATGACAAAATGACGATAACATGCAGGCAAATATATTAGGAGACAAATGTTAGGATTTAAAAAATTTCAGAAAAATGATGGATAAACTTAGAAGCATTTATATACTTACATACCATCCATTTTTTTTATGTATTTACATATCTAAACACCTGAGTTCTAGTGTTTGTATTTATAACACCCAAGTCTTTCATATCATGATAAAAATATCACTATTTTAATTTTAAAAAATGAAATACATATTTTCATGCAATGATACTATATATGTAAAAATTGAAGTTTTAAGTGTCAAATATGAAAATACATATAGTTTTTTTTCTAAATTTTAATATTGATGTCTTTCACACAAGGCTGGTTGTAGAAATTTATTTTATTATTATATAAACGATTTATATTGTCATTTTCGAGCTGGAGTGAATTCAAATAACTCAACTTTGAGCCAGCTCGTTTCAATTTTGTGTTGGATTGAGCTCAATTCAATTTAAAGTTGAGTTAGCTCAAAATTAAGTGTCAAATATTTCATTTCACATTAAAAAAAAAAACCACCATCTTAACCTTTAAAAAGTGAAATATGCCTTTTCATGGTAAGGTGGTATGTATGTAAAATCTGAAGTTGAGGTGTTAGAGATGTAATACATAGGAATTGAGTGACATGCAAATCTTTCTACAAAATACAGGGGACAATAATTTACATATATACCCATATGTATTTACACATCCGACACTTAAAGTTTTTTATTTACATTTATAGCACTGTGTAAAAAATCTATGCACAAAGTTAGGGGGTGCAAGCGAACCGAACACAAACGAACTAAACACTAATGAACAAAACTTGTGTTCGTGTTCTGTTTGTTTGAAATAAACTCGTGTTTGAAATTGTTCGTGAAGTCACCGTCGTGTTCGTTTTTTAACGAACGAGCCGAACACTAGCTGTTCGCGAACGATGAGTCAATTGGACATCCTTAATATTAATATATTATTATTATTGATTTATTATATATTACAATTTATAAAAATTAATTTTTTAAAATATCATAAAATTTTTTATATATAAATATTTTAAATTATTTTATATTTCAAACAATAGTGATTCGAACATGAACGAACTCATCACTGTTCGTGTTTGTTTCGTTTAACCAACCGAACGAAAAAAAAAATTATTCACGTCGTCTCATTTACTTATCGAACAAATCGAACACAAACTCATTAACTCATTGACGAACCTCATTGACGAACCGAACACGAACTGCTCACGAACAACGAGCTTTTTTGACCGCCCTACACAAAGTTTACTTTTAAAAATTAAATAATAATGATATTTTTTTTATATAGCACATACATAAAAAGTTTAGATGATATATATGTAAATATATAAGAGCTGCGTGGCATTATGTAGATGCCCCAAAATACATCTGTAAGCTGCAACATCCAGAATTACAAGTGGCAAAATTGACGTGAAAAAAAAAAAAAAAAAAAAAAAAAAAAATTATTTTTTAACTTTTTTTAAAGATCAAAGCTTGCTTGGATGTAATGGCTTGTTCACAAAAAAATAAAAGAAAAAAAATAGTTTCCAACCAATCTTCCTCCTTTCTTATTGGCTAATTAATATTATTTAACTCCTATTCTGTGAGAATATATTCTAATTAATAATATTTAATTTCTCACCGTGAAAGCTGGCGAAAATTTTGAATTGATTTTGTTTCAGAATTTTTTTTTTTTAAACATTCAAACTATTCCTTACTTACAGAAATATGAAAATGATTGGAAATCAATATTTCTAAATATTGCAGACTGGTGATTAAAATTACCATTCAAATTAACAATAAATTTGTCTGACTGATTTGATTATCAAGAGGATTAAATATGTTTACAGGTCACTATTGAAATGTTCTGTTGGTGACCATAATGCCACCACATTTATTGGGTCCCACAACATGCATAGCTATTATTGTGCTGAATTTTTTTTTGATAGTATTGATAATTTCATATCTTAAGGCTCTTATGAAATCACAGGAGCAAGTGAACCTGGCGGTTGATAAATTACCCATGACTTAATTGAATTATAGCTCGTTCATTATCATTTGATTAACTCATCAAACAAACTTTAATACTTTCCATAAGTACTTGATTATTATGAACAAGATTGAATAATTTATTGCTCGCTACATTTATGTTCAAGAACAATATCATTGATGAGCAATATTTTTTTTATAATGTTAATGTTTTTAGGCTCAAGGAGTACTATTTAATACAACTCATTTATTTTTCCTAAGCTGCTTATATAAAGTTGAGTGAAGCTCAATTAAAGGTCAATTATTCCTTAAATAGGAATCATTTATTTTATTAAATAAATTTGATAATCCTACATGAACCAAGCTCGAACATGGTATTCATAAACAAAAATAAACTATAATATTAAAAAGCTCAAATTAAGCTTGAGTCGTGCTAGAACAGACTCTTAATAAATAAGCTTGAGCTCGAACACGCACCTACTTGATTCGGCTCGATTCGCTTGCAACTCACCATATATGAGACTCAAATTAGTTTACATAAGAAATTGGGAAAGAAAAAAATAATGAAGTCTATTTCTGATAACAATGATCTATTTATTTGCTATTCTCCTCATACGGAAGGCTATGCAACTAGTAAGATGGGCATTTGAAGTTCACCATTGGCATAAATTACATTATGATCAATAAGGAATCTCATAATTGATCAGCTAGAAAGATGGACAAATATGAAATATCAATTGTTTGTAGGTGTTGGGTGGAAATGTTGGATGACATGAATGTTACCTTGCTTCGTTGGTTTAAGGTTTATGTTATAGTTGATGATGATCGTTAATCTAAATGAAGGAGCTAGTCCACGCATATATAGATCCTACGTTTGTGATGCATAACTCTAAGGAATCATAAGGAATTATGCACCTTAAAAGCTAATATGATTATCAAAAGGGTCAAATTAAATATGCTCTGTCACTCTTTGTCATCCCATGTGTTAGTAGTGTTGGTAGCTATAATAGTATTATTTAGTAGCATGAATGAGGCACTTACAAAAAAGGATCTATATCTTTTAGAAGAAAATTAGTATGCAAGCACTAATGCTATATAATTCCTCCACATGATGAAATGTCATGTTTAATAAAACTAAGAGTAGAAAATATTATTGGAGTCAAAATGGGAAAATTAAAAAAATTATTTTAAGGTTCCTGTTTAGCATAATATATATATTGTGACTACAAAACATTTTCAATGAATATAAACTAAAAAAGTAAAAAACTATTATCACTCTATTTACATGATGAACACTTTTAAATAACAACTATAACATATTTATTAATATTTATATTAACTTTTAGTAAATGAATGAAGACTATGAAAATGAAGTCCTAATTAAAAATCTAAGAGAATATAGTGAACGATGTAACAAATCATTTATACAAGGATAACTAAAAAATAAACCATAGATCTCTCAATGCAACAAAGGTGCTTAGTGAGGCGAAACAAATATAGCAATGTGTATATAAAGGTAGAAGCCAAGTTTAGTTGTGTATGGCTTAGAGAAGATTACTTATAAAGAAACCAAATATAAGACGTAACAAATAAGTTGGGCTTGAGATTTGAGACCATAATAGGCATGCAAATATATCAACATAAACAAGTATATCATCCTTCCAAAAGAGACGAAGCTCATCAATCAACTTATTAGGAGATATATCAGCCAACTTAATCATGCACGTTGAAAAAACATATATGAAAATTTCGATAGGGAAACAAATAGAATCATACTTGAGAAAGAAAATCCCATCAAGAAAGTTCTCTTTTAATTATTCTAATTTGATGTTTTTATTGGACACCATATGATGAGATTAAAAAAAATCATCGCAAAGCGCATCTAAATAATATGGTTAACTGTGGTGAGTAGAATGGGGGTTAATCAAACTAAAGGTATAAGACCAAAAGGGAATAAATTATTGAGTAAACATTAATTAATTGGTTTTCTCTATCTTTTGATTAGAGACATATTGAGCTTAAAATCAGACTTTTAAGTATTATCTTTCTTGTAATGAATAAAATCTATGTAATAAATTCATAGTATTCTAAGAAGAATGTGTGATAGGTTCATGGGAAGGAATATCAAACTAAATCTGATTCTCATAACTTGATTAATGAGATTAGTAATCTAGCAGTCACAGATAGGAAAGTGCTATTTACCCATCTAGCATTGTGTACTGTCACCATCAATAAGTAATCTAAACCATTTCTTCTCGTTTATGGTAACCGTGGGTGTGTTGCTAATCCTTAAGCTAAAAAGACTGATAAAATGGAGCATTTATATGCATCCCACTCAATTTTTATGTATTTACATATTTAACACCTATACTTCGCTTTTTTACATTAATAACATCCAAATATTTCATATCAATAAAAAAACACCGCCATTTTCAACTTTTAAAAGTTCAATGCACTTTTTCATGCATATGGAAGGTGAAATGTTAAAGTAAAAATTGAAGTTCGGGTGTTATATATGCAAATACATAGGAATTGAGTGGTATGCAAAAAATTGAAGTTCGGGTGTTAGATATGTAAGTACAAGAGTCTTAATTCCATCTTAGAATAAAACTTGAGCCTCAAAGAAATTTTGCGATACTTTTGTTAATGTTTTTTCTTCTTTTTTTGCAGGCTTTTGCTGCTGTGAGTACTGAATGTTCGAGCCTACTTTTGTATCTTCTGCATTATTTCCACATGAGTGGTTCTATACTCTTAAAAGTGGTTTAAGCATTAATAAGCTTAATTACCTCTCTAATTAAGATGGAAGTTTAGAGTTGACATCTTGAATCTACACCATTAAGGAATTACAATCAAGCAACACAAATGCCTCAATAATATTCTTAAAACAAAGAAAATGCCTGCCCTTTCTTAGGGTCTGTTTGGCGCGGCTACCTAGCTGCTGCGCGGCACCGCCCCACGATTATTTCGCGTTTGGGGCGGTGTCTCCTCTGTGGCAGGCCGCAAATCAGGCGGAAAGCGGAATGCGGTTAGCGACCCGTGGCCGAGCTTCGCGGCAGATTCGTTAAAGTGGTTTTACGTTGGTGCCCACTTGCCCTAAACACGAGCGGAGCTTTCCCTTTCCCGGATCTCCTCAACTCCCGAGCGTCCGAGCATCTTCGTCTTCCCGAGCGAAGGTTTCTCATCTCCTCCTCTTCGCCAACTCCCAACATCACTTCTGTCAGCCTAATTCGTCCCCGTCCCGTCTGAAGTTTTGCTCCTCTCGCGGAATTCCAATTAGAGAAACCCTGCCGGTCCTCTGCTCGAAGCAATCAAGTGTTTTGTGAGTTTATTTTTTTATCATCTAATCTAATTTCGTACTCATCATTTGTGATTTCTAGGACATTATAAAGTTTCAGTACCTTTTTTGTCTTACTTTAGAGCAATTTCAGTTCACATATACCATGGAAGAGGTCATAGAAGGAATCAAATTCATGGTTATGGTGAAATTCTGTTTAGAAGTGTTTAGAACTGTTTGATTACCTAAAAAGTTTATAGTTACTTGCAATTTAGAGAAGTTGTAGTATGTCTTAATTTTTTGAACTATTTAGAAGTATTACATATGTCGCTGTCACAATTCTGTTTTAAACAATTTTACCAAATAGGGACAGCAGAACCATTTTTCCAGAAACAACTACCCCAAGGCTGTTTTCACACAGCTGCACCAAACAGAGTGCCAGTTTCCCCCTAGCAGCTTCCTGGGGCAGCCGGCAGCAGAAAAGCTAAAAAGCTGCAGCTGCGCCAAACAGACCCTTAGTCATACTTGGCATGCTGTAAAGCCCTGAAGTCAGTCTTCCTAACCATTCAAGAACTTTGTGATTTATTCTCCTAATTAAATTTTAATATCATCACTTATAAATGCAAATTCAAAATTATATATATAACATCATTAAACTTAGTGAAATAAATGACTTTACCTGCAACATCATATAATTAGAAATCCAATGTGCATAAAATTCAAATAGCTGAAAGGCATTTGGTACGCAAACATCTACAGCTACAACCATCAAGCCTATTCCAAATTTCCATGTCTAGTTGAGATGAACTTATATGGCAAAAGAGTACCAAAACAAAAGAATCTAAGAACATTCAAATATACTTAACGCCTATGATCCCTATCATAGGGGTTAGAATATAATTCTTGCCTGTAAGTATGACCATGGGCATGGCCATGGCCGTGCTTCTGACCGACCTGCTTCTCCTCTATACTCGACTCTCCCAAAAGTTTTTGTTTGCTCAACGTGCTGTGTCTGTGCTTGTGCTTGTGCTTGTGGGTCTCTTGATGAACATGGTGGATGTGGCCATCAGGCTTAAGATGCCGGCAATTGTTATGGTGTGGCTTTTTTCTATATTGTTTTTCCTTGTCATGAAGATTATTTTCTTTATGATGGTGGATATGTGTCTGCCTTGAATATTTTTTATGCTTAAAATTATGGGTTTTGGTTCTTTTAGTTTGGTCACCAAATCGGTCATCCCACCAGTCATGGAGTGGGTCAAAGAAACCCTTTTGATGTAGGAGCCATAGAAGGATGATGACTGTGAATAAGTTTCGTTCAGATGTTGTTTGGTACCAAAAAGTAAGAAAGAAATCAGATTTTTTACACGCATGCCATCCAATTCCTATGCATTTACATGTTTGACAGTTAAATTTATTTTTTACATTTATACCATCCAAATATTTCATAAAACATCTAAGATGTCACCATCTTGACTGTTAGAAAGTAAAATACACCTTTCCATGCAACGGTAAGGTGGTGTGTATGTAAAAATTGAAGTTTTGGCGTTCGATATGTAAATACATAGGAATTGAATGGTATGCATGCTAGCATTCCAAGAAAGAAATGCGTAATTGTGATTAGATTTAGATGAAATTGAGAGAACTTACCCGTGGGAAATATGGCCAGTAGTAATCCTAACATTAATATCCAGCTAACACAAACATACTGTAGGTGGCAACTGAAATCGAAGAAACTTGAGCATTTGCTTCTGTAAAGGACAAACGAATGGGAGTAGTCAGGTTGGAATTTTACTCACTTTTCAGGTGCTTTTACTTGAAAAAAAAAAAATCAGCTTGCATTAAAAAATACTCAAAATAATTTTTAGGTGTGTTGAATGTTTCTAAGAATAATTATCACCATCAAACATATTTTAATTTAAATCTAAATATTAACAAAAAAAAAAAAAAATTATAAGTGATCTTAAATCACCCCAAAGGTCTTGTTTGAAAAAAAATGTATTGTTCTCTTGTTTCATAGCTGAGGTGAGGCTAATGGTAATGATGATTTGTTATATGTGTCCAGGAAGACTTAAAGGAAGTGCCTCTGAGAGAGCATTATAACACTTCCCATTTTGCATATTTACCATGTATATTAAAAATATAATAGAAAAGACCTTTACAAAGAGTATTAAGAAATTACCAAGTGATGTTTAAATAGCAACATTAAAAAGAGAAATGAAAAATATAGGCAGTTTCTAAAATTTTAGATTAAACAAGAACGGCCCGCAGATTCTGAGCACTCCAAGAAAGAAACAAAGACATCTAAGGAGATGTTCTAAATTTAACCAAATATTCTCTCTACATTAATTTTATTTGCGGAAAATTATAAAGTTTTATAATTTCATGATTTTTCTAAAATTTTGAAAAGGATTGATAGAATGACATTCTAGCAGAATGATATAATCCAACATACCTGCATGTTTTCCCAGTAAAGAAATCTATCAAACCATTCCACATTCTTTTCCACCCGCTCTTAATTGATTCAAAAAACCTATTCAAACCATGACCTTTCGATTCATATGCAGACATTATCTGCAAACAAGTAGAAAATATAAAAAATCCAGCACAAGTATCTCTCCCTTGAACAGACAAGGATATAAGATGGATTTAAAACTCATGAGCAGAAAACTTCAGACTTTGATCTGGAGCACTTCCACTAAAATGGATTAAATGGATTCAAAAGGCCAAATTCTTAAATGGCTGGTCTTTTAGTTAAATAAATTGATTTAACAGAATAAAAAGTAGAGTTTAGCAAAATGATTATATGCCTGGCAATATTACATGCAGATAAATCTTAATAAGATGAAATATTTAGGAGCTGTCTGAAAAAAGATGTAAGTGGGATTCAACTTAAATTTGCCAGACAGACAAAAAGAGGAAATTTTAAATCCTAGATTTAGTAAATCAAAATTCTTGCCAATTCCTCTCATTTTTATCTTAAATCCTGAATTTACTAAATCCAGGTAAATCAGGTTTTACAGAATTTACTCAAGCTGCTACCAAAGAGCCCCAGAAGGATGAATAAATTACCACATTTTATAATTTAGTGAATGATGAGTACAATGTTTCGGAATTTATAATTAATCATTAAAAATTCTCGACTTCTCAGAATCCTTCAAAGAAGTCAACCAAAAGTATGCATTTATGCAACCTTGGTAAACACACATTTTAAGCTCATGCTTAAATTTCTTAAAGTTAGATAATGCCTAACTGTGCTTACTGCAGTTCAGATCAGCCTCTAAAGAATGCAGGCTAATGACTGTAATTTCCAACAAAAACAAACTAAGTGTGGTTTCAGGAACCTGGGATCCATTGTCAAGGATAGTTGCCCTGGTAGTAAATTGGCACCCAGCACGATCTACCTCTGCAAAATCCGAAGCCTTGAGAATAGCTGAAGTGAGAAGAAAAAAAAGAATTTTATTAGAATAAAGGAAATTATTGAGCCAAATTTAACTCTCTACGTTTGCCTAATTGGGGATCATGATAACCTGCACATTCATACTTTCCAGCCTGATCTGTTGAGGGGTATATATGAAATGATCGAGCAACAATCTCATCTCCTTTCATTATATAAAATTGTTCCTGAAGAATTAGCAGAATTCTTTATTGATTGAATCCTTTAAACACAATACAATATCAACATAAAAACTTTAGCAACTATAGCATTATTACATGCGCTGAGTTGAGGCAGACATGAAGGAAAGGAGGAAATAAGCTTTTGACGTCACCTCATCAATGCATTTCTTTTACTTTTGAGCTAAGAGTACTAAAGCAGTATGTTCATTGTCCGAAAAATGCTTTCGATTTTAACTTTAGCTTAGTCTGAAAATTTTTCCAAGCAATCTGAACAACAAATTTCCAGCATCAATATGATCTTCAGTCCCTTATGCTATCGGGCATATGATTCTTGTTAAGTGTCTAAATAAATTCACACTTCTAAACGAACTTGTTGTCAAAGCCTCATAAATCATTAAAAATTGTCTCTTATCATGAAAAAAAATATTAAACATACAAGAATAGAACTTAAATATGTCAGGGTATTTCCAAATTCATGTTCGTGTCAATAACTGTAGGAAGTCTATGCTCGGATATCTGTTTTGATAGAATAAACATGATGCAAATATTCCTTTGGCTTGTTTAACTAATAACAAAGAAGAATCTCAAAGTCCCATTGCAAGGTGAAGGGGATTTCAGCATGAAATGCAAATGAGAAAGATTTAGGGCCTTGATTTGTTATAAGAAAAAAAAATGGCCATTTAATCTGCAAAGACAGTTTTTATCATAAAAACATCCAGAAAAACACAAATTTAAAGTTATCATTTCACATGTTGATATATATATTTGGAAATGACTAGTCCAGCCAATTCAATCGGTTCAAAAAGGAACTAGCTATTAGTTGATTGCGATAAAACCAAACAGTACGAATATAACTAAGATATTAGCAAATGTCCCAAAAAGTAATCAGATGGGCATTTCAAACACACGACGTCCATTTACAACAGCATCTCAACTCATCTAAGCAAAATGAGAATATTTAATTACAGAAGCGGCGTGCTTCTAGAGATAAAAATATAACAAAATTGGAAAATGTCCAGAGGGCATTCCAAATTTGTGCTACCACCGCACAAAATGCTCACAAAGGGACAATGAAAAATAAGTCCTAATACAGGTCCAGAATAGTTGGGAGTAGGGCTGTCAATTTGGCTCGTTGTTCGTGAACAGCTCGTGTTCGGCTCGTTAAGCAGCTCGTCTCGTTCGTTAAGCCTAACGATCCGAACACGAACAACAGTTTGTTCGCTCGTGCCTCGAAAAAAAAATTATATAACTTTTTATATAACAATATATTACATATATTATTTATATAATAATATATTATATATATTTATGTCTAAGTTTAAATCATAACACCTCAAGTGACAATGTGGTTAGTGTCTTCTTTTGTATAAATTTGATCCAGATTCGAATCTCACACTTTACATCTATTTTTCTCAATTTTAGTTTAACGAACCAATTTCGAGCCGAACACGAACACACTGTTCACGAGCCGATTTCGAACACGAGCCGATTTCGAACACGAGCTATTTCGAACGAGCCGAACACGAGCCCCAGTCTTAGCTCGCTCAAGCTCGGCTCGTTTACAACCCTAATTGGGAGGAGTCGAATTTGATTAAAAATTTTCAAAAATGTTGCTTAGATATCTTCAAATATATCATCTATTTGAAGTAAATCAATTTCTATGAGAGATACATGGGAGCTATAGGGAAAAGCACGCATTTTTTCTTGAGGTATGATGGATGTTTCAAAATAGACCATATTTTGTCCTTAGAGTACAAGGGGCTCTTCTGATATACTCCGAAACTAAAATCAGCAAGCAACATCAGCGAAGCGACAATAGATAGAAGGAAACAAGTCAAATAAAGGCTGCTCTTACGAAAAAAAACGCAAACAAGCATGATACAAAAGATGATCTGCTTTCGAGAGATAGATCGACTCTCTAACACCCTAGACGTCGCTAGGAATACTACCAAAAGAAGAAAATGCAGCAGCCAACAAAATAATGCATAAAGAAAGCAAATCTTAAATTACCCCTAATAGAATCCCCTCAAAAACATTCCCTCTTAACTTTTCCTCCAAACTCCCTTAATTTATCCTCCTTGCATAGAGAAACTTCACCCTTTCCTTTCCTTCTTCTGCGGCTCCCCCTATCTGTCCCGCTTCTTTATGTCGCCGAGACTGACCTGCCTGTGGGCCGATTATAATGCCTTTAGCCGGTCCAGAGTGGACCGACTAATGTATGGGCGTAACATTACTCTTCTTCCAAAAAAACACATTGTCCTCAAGGTGGAAGGATGGAAATTGCTTGTGGATCACCTCGTAGGGCCCCCATGTTGTTTCATAGTCTAGAAGCCCTTCCATTTGACCAATACCTCCTTTGCTCTCCTACTCCTCAACACACTCCTTCGATCTCTAACAACTCCGAGGTGTATGATCTCCAATCACACGTCTCAACTGTGACATTTGAAAGACCGGGCATAGTGCGGACGATGGTGGTAACCTCAAATGATAATCCACTTCACCGATGCATGTCATCACCTTATATGGTCTAAGTATCGTGATGAAATTTCTCACTCCTTCTGGCCAATGTCTTATGTCCGTAGGGCCTCAACTTTAAGTGGACCATGCCACTGTTCAAATTGCGCCTCTCCTGTGTTCATCTACTTTTCTTCTCATGAGTTTTCAACAAATGCCTCATGAGCTCTGCTAGTATCCTGCCCATATCCTCCAAGTACCGATTCATGTTAGATACTGGTGTGACACCATTACCAAAATGTACCAAGTGAGGTGGATTCCGCCCATACAAAATCATGAAAGGGGTGGTCTGTGATGCATTGTGGTACAATGAGTTATACCAATATTCGGCCCATCAATCCACTTGGCTCACAATTTTGAAGTATCAGAACAAAACAACACAGGTATGTCTCCACACTTCTGTTGACCACCTTCGTCTGTCAATCAGTCTAAATATGATATGCGGTGCTCTTTTTAAGGACTGTCCTTTGCAACCTGAATAGCTCCTTCCAGAAGTGGCTGAGAAACACCTTGTTCCTATCAGAACAATTGATTCCGGTACTCCGTGCAAACCGACCACTTCTCGAATAAACACCGTTGTGACTGAGACTGCCGTAAGGAAATGAAATGTGCATAGTTACTCTGACGATCCATATGATCACCGTAAACCCTTCTGACCGTGGCAATCTCTCGATGAAATCCATCATCACTTCTTCCCAAACCTTCCGTAGCAATGCTAATGGTTATAGTAACACTCTTGGTGTCGTGGTCAAGTGCTTGTGTCGCTGACATATGTTGCATTGTGTCACCATATCCCCGACAACTTTTTGATTTGGAAAATAATTTATGCAAATTTAATTTAATATAAGAGTTATATAATTTGAGTTTTGAAAGTAGTATGATTTAATTTTTAAAAAAAGAGACCCAATGGATCTCACTAGTCTAATAGTTTGCATAATTGTGCCTAATAATGTAAATTCTACACCTTCCCGAAAGATAAGTATATACCTCGGCGATAAGTCCAATCCTGCAAACTAAGAGATTTGTGACATCCGTTTGGTCTGCAAACCTTTTATGTGTGACCGACAAGTTCCCTTACCTAATATATAAATTAAGTAGGATTAATTTTACCTGAGTTCCAAATTCCCTATAGAGACAAACTCCTATAGTTAATTACATCCCAAATGACATGGGTCACTTGAGAAAACTCTCGATGATGATCAGAGATACTAGTCTTCAAGAATTCAAGGTTTATGTTTTCACGGTAAAACATGAAAAATCAAGTGGGGGGACAAAATGAGAGCAGTTCTTTCAGGAATCCAAATGAAGAAAAATGTAGGGGATGTTATAGATCATGAGAAGAAGCCTCAGTGACTTCCCAAACTATTCTACTGTGTGACTGTGTTTTGGACATAATTTTATTCAAGTGTTCAATCCTGTCAATTTTATTATTTGAGGCTTATATTTGTATGATATTCGATTGTGCCAATAACCCGTAGAAATAGGAGGGTTGATGTCGTACTAAACGACAACCTCAGAAACCTAAGGTGAGTTAGGACTTACGTTGCACAACATGATTGCACAGAAGCCTAAAAAAAGTAAGGATTTATGTCACCCTAGGCGAGCTACCTCAAAATCCTATAGGTTGTTATTTAGGCTAAGGAGAGGAATTGCTAAAGAAGATCCTCTTGTTGCTCTATCCAAGCTCCTTGCCGTGCTGCCCACAAAGTTGGCTCCAAAATCTTTGTTAAAGTAACAATCCTAAAGTCTATGGTTCAAACGATTTTACTAGGTATGTTTCAATGTTTTGGTGTCAGAGTTTGGTTCTATTGTTGTTGTTCAAATGTCATATTTGAGAGAATTTTAAATTAATTAGAGCGACACCGGTTAGAATCCACGATTCCCTCATTCCGACACCACTATTTTTTTCTTGAATTTACTTAGTCTAAATGAGTCATTAAGCCCATTTAGACCGTAGAATTCCCATTAACAACCGTAGGTTATCTCCTCAGAGAGATTCTCATAAATCCAAAAGAGGTGAATTAAGGACGTTCACTAGGTTTAAAAGTGTATAAATTTTCGAAAATGTTATTTTTTATTTTTTTATTTTTTTTACGGATAATGTAAAGCATGCGTAGTAAAGTAAAGAGAAAGTAAAACAGTAAAAAAAAATGCATAATAAAGTACAGTGACAGTAAAGTAGTAAAATCGCGATAAATAAACTGTAAATGCTTACATGACGTGTCTGCTGTTGCAAAGGTGTTAGCATCATTTGTAAAAATAAGCAGGTATAACTAAAAAATTACTGAACACCTCAAATATGAGCTTAACTATGTAAAAGAATAGGAAGCATGTGAAAGCTCGAAGGAGACTGTAGGAATTCAGGTCAGGGTGGGCTCAGAGCTGGGCTGTGTGCTTTACAATCCAACTTTGGATAGAAGCTACCAACCCAAACCATCGAAGGAAGGCAATTCTCAGCCACAATCGAAGCGATTAACAAGTGGACCCTTGTA